AGTTCTGAAATAAGCAAGCACTTCCCACAATCCTTCTAAATGTTTCTATAGCAATTTGTATTACACGAAGTCGTGACTTCCAAAAATAAGCCCGTCACAATCTCACTTTGCTTTACTGATTTACTGATATAATGGCGCAACAACCTGACCTACAACAGTTACAACAGTTGCAACAAATACAACAAGACCTGGGACAGCAAATGCGACTACGCGACAGATGCAACAAATACAACAAATGTTAGCTATTCGTAAGTATATTATTTCGAACCGAGCGTTATTTTGTTCATTATTTTTTTTTGTTACTTCTTCATTATAAATTTTTAGAGGAGCAAAAAACGCAGGCACGAATTTGTAACTCAACAATTCGGAATGTCCGTGCCGATATCGAACCGTTATTTACCAACACAGAAATTGTTCCGGTTAACTTTCCGAAAAACTATGAAGAAATAAAGACTGCTAAGGCCAACATAATCAACGGCGTCTAACAAAATACCTAGGAATAATTTCTTTTTACGAGCAAATATATTAATGTTATTTGATACAATAGCTTGCTTGATTTGTCTAGCTAGATTAGAAAATTTAAAGAACACATGTCAAGATAATGAAATAAAATTGCTAAATTCAATTGAATGCTCTTTCAAAATTCTTGAGTCACACAACGATAATACATGAAAACAGTTGAGTGATTACAATTATGAGACGATTACGATCGATCGTGAAGCACTTATAAAACAAACACATGGTATTTACAGTCCGTCTTTTAACACTGTTCACTAAATAGACATTAGAAAAACCTCAGTGAAGATCTATATTGGAGAATAGTATTCATACATCCATCATGGACGGTGTTTGAACAAGGAGAGATCGTATATTTCTCGCTCTACTGTTTGCAACATCTTGAGAACATAGGGGATGAGTCAACGTTCCTTCACATATTCTAGGGAAGAAGAAAGTTATTTGATGCGGATGACACGTAGAGTATGTAATGTTGGCCTTTGTTGTTAATCGACTAAACACTAATGATCGTTTCTCAAGTCCTTTGTCGAATAGAAGTGGGAATGGATATCTAGACGATTTGGTTTCTGATGTGAGAAGAAAGTTCCTAGGACTGGTTATTTGTAATCTCAAGCTCTGGTTAGAGATATTCTGCAGAACAACATTGATGCGAGAATAACGGAGATCGCTATCTCGTGAAGATATGTTTTTATTTATACTAATAAAGAAACTCAAAAAGGTGTCATTTGTACTATCGGTTTCGTAATATTCACCAGCCTTATCATTTGATTGTATTTGAGGTGATAGAAGATAGCCGAAGTTATGAACCGTAAATCTTTCAGATTCCAAATATGAATCGATACCCTGGAACCGCCAGTTTAATATCACTGACAAGCTGCAAAGTTAGGATTCATGACAATTGGGAATGGAAGAATTAGGCGAGGCAGTTCGTTTCTCTCCATCATATGGTGCAACGCATCTAAAGCTCGAAATAAATTATCCAACTTTCAAAACCCCAAGGCTTTTGTATTAGAGGGTATAGAGAAAAGCTAATCCGTAAGAATGGTAGAACAGATGATGCAGAACAAAAGTTACGGTTTAGATTTTTTAATCAACTAAAAAAGTTTTGAGTTTTAGGGATTTGAAATTTCGGACACAACGTTTTGTGTAGCTTTCGTGTGTACCGATTCGTTATCCAATAAATGCGGTAGTTTAAGCAAGCGTTCGTAACATGCTCTATCGTTTTTCATTATTACTATGCCTTGACCAACTAAAAGAAAAGCCGCACATAAAAAAGTGTCACGAGGTAAAAGAGGCAAATTTATTAGAGATGAACTCAATTTTATCAATACAGAGCAAGCACATCGGCATTGGTCGAAACGATCGAAAATTCAGGTCACGTTTGTATTTTTTTCCAAATTTCACTGCGAATTGAATTTTATTGAACGGAAAATTGAGGAGCAGCCAAACGATATGCACGAAATAATTGTAATCACACATGGAGTGGATTACAGAAACAGTTCTTCGTGCTCTCGATTCTGTTAATTTAGTAACCATTCGTAGATTTGCGCGAAAAACGTGGCGATATATGGATTTGTAGACATAAAATTACAAGAATATTACGTGATTGTAATAATGTAGCTCTTGGCATTATTACTATTGATTGTACTTGTTATTAATTAGTTACTTATCTACATTGAAATTATGCATGTGCTGTATTTATCATAATTGCTTATTTAGTTAGCATTGTGGTAACAGTATTTGAAACATGCTAACAATATAGGTAATAGAGAACTCTACAAGATTAGTCATGGGTTATCAAGAAAAGAACGAACTTCTCAAGATGAGTTAGCAACAGAAAAAGAAAACACACGAATTGTTTATTGAAGATACTACGTATTTTAATGAGACTTGCTTCTCACTTGTTGTAACCTTCACTGACCCCTCGATGTGAGACTTGCATGACACAACATTGAAATCAAATAAAAGGGCCAGCCAGATCATTAGTCAAACCGTTGTTAATTTGTTTATATAATAAAATATATCACAGCACTAAAGTATAATTATTTTATCAATAATTTTATCGGACAGTAAAAGTAGGATCATCTCAAGAGAGAATTAAACTGGATCGCGTTAGGATATGTTTGATATTATCTTCGGGGGTTCAGCCTTATTAAAGAGTTAGACTTTAAATGCTAACGCTATAGATTTGTCAAAAACTGTTCGTTTAGTGTTTTTGGACTTCTGTTCTGAACCGTTTGTTAATCTTCTTTTTTTCAGGAGTCGATGTACAAATAGTTAACTGATGCTGATCATAATCGTATTTTCGTTTTCTCCTGTCTTGATTTTCTTTCAAGTTTGTTACCACTTTCTGAATTCGACTCTAAATTTATAAAGGCATGAACATTAGTATTAGGTGAAAAAATTGTTATGTAATGGACACGTAGCATGAGTGTAACCTTTGAATTGAGAATATGGTTAAGACAGATGGAAAATTTTCCGGTATATCAGGTATCGCCATTAATTCACTGCGACGAATCCTACATACATATCCCTTAGTATTAGGGTTGTCAAGATAAATCATCACCATCATTAACACTAATATTAAGATATTAATGATATAAGATAGATTTTCAGCAAAAGCAATTAGATAGATGCGTGAATGAAAACATACCAGCATGGACAATTCCGACCGTTTGAATTTTACTATAAATTTCTGGATCCCATCTGACCTTTTCCATCAATTTCATGTCTTTGAAAGTTTTACACCAGCTTCTTTTAAAAACTTAGTCCATACTTATCATTCCAGTTTTTTCCTACTTTCCCAACTCCAAATTTATCTTTGTCGCCTTTACCAATCGATCTTAAAATCTACGACCCATTTTACGATATGTGCCTAACTTTCTATTTTTGTTTTTTTTCGAATTAAACTGGCAATTCCCATACTTTCCCTTTTTGTTTACAAATAAATTGTCAGTCCTGTTAAACAAGCTATTCAACAAACAAAAAAAAAGCTTTACCTGACAACTGAAATAAGCTTCACATTTCCAAATGCTTGATCAAATATAAAATTCCAAATATGAACATTAAACCATGCTTCAAGGTGGTCATTGTATAACTTCCCACTCTCTCTATTTCTCGCATCCTGTAAAATACTTTTCATGTCAACGTTAATTCACAAAAATGTTGATAAGATAAACATTGGAATAACAAGAATTACTTACAAAGCATGTATAGCAAATGAAAAATTAACCAGTGACTGATGCAAATTGTTTTAGTGACAAAATCACAAGAATAACGTTTGCCTGATGGAGATTGCAAAGAAGTTTTACTTTTACAGTAAAGTCCGCTTTAACGAAGGTTCGTTTAACCGAAGATGGCTTATAACGAAGCTTTTTCATGGAACCGAATCATTCATATATGCTTAGCTCCCAAAATTTATAATTAAAATCTGTATAACGATATAGCGAAGAAATCGTTATTTCGGTATATCATGCTAATTTAGGCAATCTTCATTAAACTGAATGGTTTATCTCATAGTGGGTTCGTTATAGTATTACTGTATATAGAGATTTAAACAACACACTGCTGTAACGGCTTGTCTTATTTTGTCAGCAGCAAGATTTAAGTGTCGACATTCAAGTATATAGTCAACTAAAGCAACTGCGTAAACAAATTGTTGAAAAAAGTATTGCAGCAAAAAAACAGACATGTTTAGAGAATTTATTAACTTTGAAATTCAATAGAGAAACAGAATGGGTAGGATGGAACGTACAGTACAGAAGTAAACGAATAAATCCCACTTTAACGAATATCACGTAATTATATATATAGTTCGTTATATAGGTAGAAGTCCGCTTTAACGAAGTTTTTTGGCGAAACGGAGCTCTTCGTTAAAGCGGACTTTACTGTGTAATTGTTATTACGTGTGGTGCGATTACTCTAAATGCGAGCGACCTTTGTAGTTTATAACGCGAATTTCTGCGCATTGATTATCATTGGTCGCATTTTCCCAATAATACGTCGCAAAAAAAAGTCACTTTTACCATGCTCACAATGAAAGACTGCGACGGAACCTTTCGTCAAAAATGTAGCATTTGCGACTGTCGGGAATTTGCTCCCCAAGATAGCGAAAAAATCACTTGTCGTTGCCAACATCACGCCGCCGACCATGCGGCCTTGAATATAATGCAGCCAGGTAACGACTTTGTGACTCTGGCATAGAATAGTGTGTATATAGGGTAGAGTGCTTGTATTCCATTTGTCTTTTATATTTCATGGCTCGGCCTTTGGACGTAGAATAGAGTGCAGTAGATAGGCAAATTTATTTCTATCCAATTTGAGGGCATACAGACACGAAGTACTGAATTGGCTGTCCATACTCTGGTGCATATGAATGTGCACTAGGTGCCAAATACACATGTATTAGTATAGGGAATTTAAATCATCTTTCTTGTACAGGTCTTAAACGGCCAATTCCCGAACCCCATTTTCAAAATCAGAGGATGCGTAGACTTGTGAAAACTGAAGGTCCTGTAGATGTCACAAAAAATTTTTATGTTCCATTTAATATTCTGGAAGCAACCTATAAGCTGGAGGAGGCCATAAATGAAAAGGTGTGTGTGCTCCTAGTGGGTCATTTTCAATCTGGAAAATCATCAACTCTACATTATTTGAGTGACACCAAAGAGAATTATTTTTATATACAAGCTTCAAAGTTAGCAAATGGATTCTTGCAAGGATTGTGCAACCAACTTTCTTTGAATTTATGTAATAACATAAGTGAATTTGATCATGAAATCAATAAGATATACAGGAAGCAGATAGTAATCATGATTGATGAATTTGACCAATTCTTACTTAATCAAGACAAAAGTGGAAATACAATTGATCAGCTGAGAGAACTCACCAAACTTGTAAATGATAGGGGAGCAGAAGGAATCAAATCAATCATTTTTGTGGGCAGTTTTGCAATTACTACAATGCTTGAAGATGGAAGCTCACAAGTTAAAAAAGTCATTGAAATATCATCACCAAATTCATCACAGGAATTGCTACAAGACAGTTTGTTGGAGAAACTGACTCAAAAGCCTAAAGGAGTTCCATCACCATTAAATTCAGCAAAAATTATTGAAGCATCAGATTTTACTAAAGAGCAGCATGTGCAATTCTATTATGACATCCAAGAGAATTTAAATCTTCATTTCAATGAAAATGTTGTGGATGATATTTACAGTCTTACTAATGGTTATGCTGGATTAGAAGGGTTGCTTGCATCATTGTGCATTGAATATGTTAGCAATGAGGAAACTCTTGACTTTAATACATGGAATAATTATTTCACAGAATTCATTCGTAATCCTACAAAGAAAAAGATTAGTGCAATTAAACACATTGAAAAATACCTTTCTGAGCCAGTTAGTAGCAGTAATTACTTGATCAAAGATGCAAAGAAACTTTTAGAATGCTTTTTACAAAGGGGAATTCTGCAATCATCAGAAATCTGTGAAGAAGATTCAGTTGCCATTGTACACCTGCGTGCAATTGGAATCATAAAGGATATGGGCAATGGAATTTTTGGGTTCACATCTAACATCATCCTTGATCTATTGTCAGACAAATATTATCCTGTTTTTAGACAAGATCCCTCCTTGGCAAGAATTCCAAATATTAATATTAAATCACCTCAAGACTTCTTAGATAAGACATTGGACCTTTTGAGATACATTCGTTATGGTGAAATTTTCAATCCCTTAGCTGCCAATCAATGTTCTTTTTCTGAATCAACAATCCAAGGGGAGCTTTATGCCCTATTACGTATGGCTGTGTCATATCCAGTATATAAAATTTTTCGGGAAATTAGAACTTTGGAAAAATCTGAAAAAAAATGTGATATCTGGGTGTGTAACAATGAGGAGTATGGGATTGAATGCAAAGTTGGCAAAGATTCTGAAAAAGAGATAAAAAAGGCAGCTATACAGGCTATTGGATATACAGGAGGACGAGACAAAGTATGCTGTATGTTTCTCTTTAACTTTGTGCCATTTGACAGTAATGTTACGGCAAGCTGATCTGATGAATCAGATAAGTAAGTCACATGGTAAAATCTTCCTCCGCAGTCAAACAACCCCA